GAAAGATTGAGTTTTAGAAGGTTGAAAATTGAAGAAGGATTGAGTGTGCATGCCCACATATGGGCATGCAAACTCAATACTTCTTTAACCCCAAACCCAAATCCGACAAGAGAGGACAGGGAGACGGCCCTGCTCCGTTGCCACGACCTTGCGGCTCAACGAGCCATGGTCCAGCGCGCCAGGACAGCGGCCACGACCAATGGGGTCCCTGACTAGGGACTCCACCTAGTACTGCAGGGAGGCTGACCCACTAGAGGCTGGTCTCCCTGGCAACCTCTGTTTTTTAATAATTGTTCACAACTTCTAGTACTACTGCTACTCAGTATACGCGCGCGGCGCAAAATGAAACGTACTGCATACAAGTCATTTGCGTCCCATTTCTAAGGAATTTCGTCCATCGGTTGTATTCGTATATGCATGGAACTGCACCGATGCTTGAGTAGGCAGCATTGCAACCACTATTGACGTTTAACGAGGATTATATGGCATCTGTTTGAAAAGTAGTTCCGAGACCTGGCGAAGCTCTGTGGTAGAATGCTTGAGTGCCACGAAGAATGCTTGGGTTCGATTTCTGCTTGGACATTGACATTTATTATTCGCATTCGCCTGGCGGTCAAGCGCGGTCTGTGTCAGGTTTTTCTTAACACTGACATTTATTCTATGCCTTCGTTGGGCCGACACTAGCGTTGTCGGGTATTGCTATACGCTCACGCGTTAAAATTGGCCATGTGTGTTCTCGTCGTTCCTGGGTAGGTACTAAGTGCCAATCACCTGTGACACACACCCGCATACCAGTGGCACATACCCGCCCGTGAGTATGTGCTATTGTCTGGGGGGAAGTGTTTGATGACGTACGCGACGGGATTGTGACATTATTCTTGTCTTTACCAGCGCGTCATAATTGTCAAACCATCTTACCCTCCCATGCTAATTTTGGTTGACGCCAAGTTAAGGGGGGCCCCGCCGCGGTGGTCTAGTGGCTAAGGTACTCGGCTGCTGACCCGCAGGGCGCGGGTTCGAATCCCGGCTGCGGCTGCTGCATTTCCGATGGAGGCGGAAATGTTGTAGGCCCGTGTGCTCAGATTTGGGTGCACGTTAAAGAACCCCAGGTGGTCTAAATTTCCGGAGCCCTCCACTACGGCGTCTCTCATAATCATATAGTGGTTTTGGGACGTTAAACGCCACATATCAATCAATCAAGTTAAGGGGGTGACCACGAGAGCACCCAAACTTAAGCGGATAGAGATAGATAGATAGATAGATAGATAGATAGATAGATAGATAGATAGATAGATAGATAGATAGATAGATAGATAGATAGATAGATAGATAGATAGATAGATAGATAGATAGATAGATAGATAGATAGATAGATAGATAGATAGATAGATAGATACGCTCAAAGTCGCTGAAGTTCGTTAAGAAATGCTTCGCACTTAAAAGCAATGCAGCGTGTGCGTAAGCCTCATTGCCACGAAAATGTGTGATGCAAGACATCTTGGCTTTCGCCTAAGAAAAGGTCTGCGATCGCCCTGTCCACTTCGCTCTCGTGTCTCGTTTTTAACGCAGTTATAATTTCCTAGATATTATACTCGTCAAGCTATCGCTTTGGTTGAATGACTTGGTCGTGCGTGTCTCTTAATGCTCCCTCATGTTAAACTGTCTGCCCGACGGCTGTGGTTTGTAATAATAATTGTTGAGTGGAACGTCGCACAATCACGATATTATCATGAGAGACAACGTAGTAGGGGGCTCCGAAAATTTCGACCATCCAGAGGTTTCTAACGTGCGCTGACATACCAAAGTATACATTGGCGTACGCCGCCTTTTCTCCTCCATCGAAAATGCGGTCGTTGTGGCCGCGGGATTCGATCCCGCGACCTTCATGCCAGCAGTCGATCACCGTAACCACTGTAGACCAGCCTGGCAAGTAACTGTGGTCTATAAGGGATCTGGGTTTGAAAATAAATACGTTGTTGGCAGTATAACGCTGTGTGGTGTCGTTACGTGCCTTAGCCTGTACTTGTGTCGTTCCCTGCTACATCAAAGCTGATCAGAGAACGCCCCGTTGTTGCTGTATATATTTTTTGTCATTGTAACAATCCGGCAGACATAAACGGGGGACATTATACGGCACCATGTTTCCGACAGTGGCGCGGACGTCGAGCAAATGTCACCAATTAAAGGACCATGACACTGTCGTCCACCAAATAGCGGTTCTCATCGAAAAATGAAACGAGGAGGTCTATCAATTTTGCGTGCAAATGTATGAAAAATCTGCTGTTGAATATTTTTTCATTGACGAAAGAGAGAGAGAGAGAGAGAGAGAGAGATAAATAGAGAGGAAAGGCAGGGAGGTTAATCAAGCTTGGCTCGGTTGGCTACCCTACATTTGGGGTGGGGGAAAAGAAGAATGATAGAACGGAAAGAGACAGAAAAGAAGAGGAGTAAGAAAGAGAAGCATAAATAGTCAGCTCGAGACTACACAGCACGGCCTCGCACAGTTCTTTCACAAGCGGTCGTGAAGTTTGGTGGTCCTTAAAAAGTACAAGAGGGTTTTCGTGGCTTTGCGCGTATGAGAAGCCATCGGCCAAGGTCCCAGGATCTTCTCTTCTGTAAGCGGCCGTGAATCCAGCTGACAGAGCTTGGCTTCCATAATACGTCGTTTGGTCTGGTATGCTGGGCAATTACATAGAATGTTCTCAAGCGTTTCCTCGCAGGCGCAGATGTTGCATGCCGAAGTGCTCGCCATTCCAAGGAAATTCATTGACGAACGAGCCTTATAAGTCAATAACCCCGGCCACTGCCGGTAACCGCCATTTTGCCATGGCGTACGTGAGTGACGTCATGTGTTTCGTGGGGTGGATCCGCTATCTTTCACCAAAGTTTCAACCGCTACAAATCGTTCAATATTCAATGCCGGACTCAAACAGGCTGTAATAGCTCCATTGTACGCGCAGCTGAGCAGGAACCAATATCGTTGGCCGGAAATACTACGCTCGCAAAGCAAGCGGCTTGTTACGTCACGACTCGTGAGTGCGCCTTGTGCTGTCGGACTCCGGAGCCGCTCGCGCGTTTTTGAAAATGCGCGTTACAAAGTAAGTACTCGACCTAATGAGGAAAAATTTCGCCGACTCATTTGTGAATGCAAAAGAAGTAACCCACACCACTCAGATTATGATCGAAAATTTGGCGCCGTATCCTCTTTAACAAAATATAACGTGTCTCTCTTAAATAATTCACCTTATAATCGGCCAATCCCCTCCTTTGGGTACGAGCCATGTGCAGAGGAAAACAACAACAACAACAACAACAACAACAACAATCGATGCTCTAATGAGTGTTCATGTGGAAGCCAACTTGCCACGCTATTAGACAGCTAGAAAAGCGTTTCATGAGTGGCATACGGGGACAAGGGACGAGCATAAACATTTTGCTGTATCTGTCTGCCCTAAGTTGCATTCCGAATACGTTTGCTATGATTCCATGCCCACAGGCGTAATGACATAGCTATAGCTCCAAAAGATGGCCAATAAGGCAACGCATTAGGAAACCTTCTTTTAGATGTGAAGCTCCTTAAAGCGGCACCCGTTCGTCCCTCGTAGTAGTGCGTAATATCTCTTTCGCTTTGACCTGCATGGTGGTGCTGGTGGGAGATTTCTCCTGTGCGTTGTTGAACAATAAAAAACTTCGCATGCAACGTGCGCGTTAACTAAAAGACGAATTCTCCTGGCTCTCATTCCCCATTAGCAGCCATAGGCATGTACATTGAGCACTATCTGACAAGAAAGTGTTGCTACGTTATACTCGCTGGGCGTAACCTCCTTGGTTTTAAAAATGTTTAGTGAGCGTTGGGCCACAGTGCCATGAATACAGTGAACTAGCATATACCATGAACTCGAGGTGGTTAAAGGTAAGAAGTAGACATGAAGCGCAAGCCGTAAGAAAGTGTGCGTGTGCCACCACTCGTTTAGTCCTTGGAATCTCCGATGGGTAGCGGTGCTTCTATATGTGGAATATATGATGAAAAGATACGAGATGGTGGTACTTGGAGTGTTGACTAGATGGACGAACGGACACACAGACAGATGCATCGACAGACGCACGGATGGCTGCACGGATGCATGGACGAACACAGAGATGGACGCACGGATGGACGTGCGGACGCACGAACAGATGCACGCATGGACGGACGGAAGCAAGAACGAATGGATGGACGGATGCTTCACCTCACTCTCCACTATTCACTCCGTGGATATGTTGCCATTTTTTTAATTATGGAGAAGAAAATTTCACACTGTTCCCATGCTTCAAGGTATGCCACGACTAATATGCTACAACGAAGGGGTTTATCAACATCAAATTATCGAAAATCACCACATAACAAAAAAGATGAAAGTAACGCGTGACTATTCATCATTATCCAGCTCAGTGTTAGGAACGGTATACTATATCAAGTAGTCCTAGCCAGCTGTCAACGTTGTTAGTAGCGCCTTGTAAAGTGCTCTCGTTTCGTTTCGAGTGCAGATTGCTTACTGGGCGCTGCAGTTTTGTCTGAGTACGAACACCAACGCGCCCACCAACACGTCCCTCTGCGTTACAATTAGCCGCTCAAAATTACGCGCCAATAGGCTACGTTATAGACTGTACTATTTCTTGCGTGAACAATTCCTTTCCACTGTGGTTCTGCTGTAGGAAATATCTGAGCGCGTTTCCTTGACCGAGCAATATATCATTCAGTAAACACGAACTTGAAAATTGTTGTCGTGCACGACAAGATTCCGTAATACTCCCCCTCCCCTTTTTTTCTACTTTTCTCTTGTTCCCAAGTGCAATGAAATGACGAGGGAACGATGCAGGATCAGGTCGAACGTTGGAGCAGTACACAACGCTGCCGTGGCGGCATCTGCCGCAGGGCTTTGAAGTTTCTGCCGCGACGGCGGGTCAACCTGTACACCTTCGGGCTCCCCGCCGGAGGGGGCAGAGGGACGGATATAGCATCCATAAAAAGGCTGTCCTTTGCGACGACAGCAGCTCGGCGGGCGGGGTCCCATCCGAGCACGACGAGCCTGCCTGCGGCGAAAGCCACAGCGGGAGGTCGTTAATGCCAGCACGTCGGACGCGGCGAAGGGCACCACCTGTGATCGTCGCTGGCTCACTTGCTGCTTGGAAATCGCATACGGACGCCGCTGGATTTGTTCTCACACCGTTTCGCTAGCGTTGGCTCACCGAAGGAACGCACTCACCGTTCACATCGTGCGCCTATGACAGTGGAGTGTTATCGCATGATCACTGCGGAAAGGTGAGGCCTCGTTGCGTAAGCTCCAGCAGTGTTTCTCAAGCTCATCGAAGAGGACATCAGTCGTGTGCTGCCTTTCGCGCAATCTTCCCGGTGCTTGTGTGTTGCTAAGGGAAACGCGTGCCCACTTGCTACGCTATCTCTTTGTCTTTCGGCGTTGATTCATATATTGCGCGAGCGATGTGACTCGCGCAGCTGTTGTACCGAAGCACAGCTGCGTTCCCCACGTGACATGCGTGGGAGATAACTAATGTGCAAAGAAAAATACCCTGTGTGGATCCGTGCAACGCTGCAATAATCGACTGACCGCTGGCACTTTTCCCAAGGTGAGAGAGTGCATGGTGAGAGCGAGAGCGACGGAGGCGCGCGCCGCATCGCATGGGTATGTAACGCGGCTACATGACACGCGTCTTGGCTTTGTTCCTTCCGAAAGGAAACTGTAGAGTCATTTCTTATACTGACAGACGCTTGGGAAGCGAAGCCATCATGTCGACTTCGATTTCCTCCGCTCCGAAGCAGCCGCTCGGCCCGCCCGAGAACCTGCGCTACGTGTTCGTGATCAGCCGACACGGCCAGCGAACTCCCATCATGCGCTGCCAGAACCTGCCAAAGAACGAACCTGTCGACTACGGCCAACTCACCGCGGCGGGTCGAGAACAGACCTTCAAGCTGGGCCAGTTCCTGCGGCACCGCTACGAGGCGTTCCTGCGGGACTGTGACTCGCCCGGTCAAGTACTGGCCACCCACGTCTCTCTCGACCGATGCCGGGACAGCATTCGAGAGACGGTGCGCGGTCTGGGAGTTCCCGGGGTCCCGATCAGCACCGACCCGGCGCGGTACGATGTGCCCTTTCAAGCCAGCGTCAACGCCAACATGGGCAAGGCGCTCAAGGAACCCGGTCGAGGCAAGTTCGAGACGCTGGGAGACCTGGTCTACTTCGTCGCCGAGAAGACGGGAGCGCCGTGGCGGAACAACGCCGACAAGTTCCTCGTTATGGACAGCTTGGTGACTTACGTGCTCAACGGTAACCCCGTTCCGGACTGGGCCATGCCCATGTGGGAGGACTTGCTGTGGGCCGACCGGACGGTGTTCGCGCAGTTACTCGTGGGTTACGAGAGACCGTTCGCGGCCTCCGTTCTGGGACGCGTGCTGGACACCCTCGCGGAAAAGTTCGAGAAACGCGTCGAAAGTCCCGACAGGATGCACATCTTCTCCATGTCCGACACGAGCCTGTTTTCGGTGCTCAAGCTCCTGAACGAGTCGCACGATGTCCGACCGTGCTTCTGTGCTAGCATCATGATTGAGGTGTACAATGATGGTACGGAGGTACGCGTCCGAGTGTTGTACCGCACCCAGGATGAACCTTGTCTAGTCCCCATGAACAAGTTAGGTAACCCGTGTGAACTGAGCAAATTTCTAAAATTCTTGCGCGTCATTATAAGCACGTCTTAACTGCCACTTCAGAAAGGACTGGCATATAACCAGTCTGTGCGTCAGTGTTTAGACAGCGCTGCTGCAGCTGCACTGTGCATGGTGTTCGCAAAAAAAAAAAACGGGTTATATTGAACACCTTTTACCTCGGCCTTTTATGTATATTAACGGGGTCATACTTAAACTCAAGTGCCTGCAAAATGCGTTGTATTTGTTGCTAGCATAAGCAGTGTCAAGCCAGTCGCTGTAGGTGGCTCGCACATGAACGACTAAGTTATCACGGAGGAATGTAGATCAGTAATTTTACAGCGAAAGCATTTATGAGATCGGAACACGGGTCACGCACGGCGCCGTAGTTGTCCGACGCCGCCACCGGCGTCCGCAACCAGTATCGAACGAAAAAAAAACTCATTAAATAAAAAACGCCGATGTGAGAATGGGATTGAAAACCGGATCCTCTGCGTGCCAGCCCAGTATTCTATACCACTGAGTCAAGCCAGTGCTTGGAACTCGTTTCTAAACTGGCCATAGGCAGCCTTGATTTCGGTAAAGGAATCGCGTGAATATGAGTATTAAAAGCGTTTTGGAACATCAAATGAGCAGCCGGGGGGCGTCACGCAATGCGTATTGCGTAACGAGTGGGTCGTCCGATGCTCCAGCCCATTGGAAAAATTGTTATTGATTACCATAGGGCACATACCCACTTCAGTCATAATTTTTCATTGTCGTCAGTCACTGCATAAAAATTGCGCAAAATGAAGAGGTATGTAGTGAATACCACGCTTTTTCAAACAATGACGAAGGATAGCATAGTGAATGCTGGCCTTATACGCAAAAGTTATGATTATTTATGGCGTAGTGGGTACCCAGCAGTGTGTCTGTAGCAGTTACCTAAAGAGTGTTTAGAAAAGGCTTCAAATGGCCGCTTTTCTCGCTTTCGCTGTGACTGTGCTGCGCGTTCCGCGCAGATCTGGCATTTTTTTAGGTTGTTTTAGCATTTTCCTGCACTACACATATTTTTTTTAGGCCAGTGCATTCTTTACGATTCCGGCTATAGGTTGAGTATTCCTGCCAACAGTTCCCATTTCGATGCTCAATCATAAGACGGAGGAATCTAAAGAAACAAAGAATGGCATCTCCCAAAACCAAGAGCCAGTAACGTTGATAATTAACGAACGCTTTACGTCAGCGAGTAGGCAGAATATGAAGTGACATTACAGGTTTATGCGCCAGCTGTATCCACGATGAGTCACAAAAATGGCAGCATATCCACGGAGTGAATGATGGAGAGTGGGGCGAAGCATTCGTTCGTCCATTCGTTCTTGCTTCCGTCCATCCATGCGGGCGTCGGTGTGGCCGCCCGTGCGTCCATCCGCCCGTCCGTGCGTGCGCCTGTTTGTGCGTCCGCACGTTCATCTGTGCATCCGTCCCTGCTTTCGTCCATGCATCCGCTCCTGCGTCCGTCCATGCGTTCATCCGTCCGTGCAGCCATTCGTGCGTCCGTCCATGCATCTGTCTGTGTGTCCATTCGTCCACGTATTCAACACTCCAAGTGCCACCATCTCGCGCCTTTTCATCATATATTCCTCTTATAGAAGCACCGCCATCCAGTGGACATTCCAAAGACTGAACGAGAGGAGGCACACGCACACTTTCTTATGCGGCTTGCGCTTCGGGTCTACTTCCCAGCTTTAACCACCTCGAGTTCCTGGTATATACTAGTTCATTGTATTCATGGCACTGCGGCTTAACGCTCGCTAAACCTTTCTAAAACTAAGGAGGTTACACCCAGTGAGTATGACGTAGCAACCCTTTTTTGTCAGATAGTGCTCAATGTACATGTCAATGGCTGCTAATGGGGATTGCAGCGTGCGCGTTAACTAAAAGCCGAATGCTCCTATTTTTCATTCCCCCTTAGCAGCCATTGACATGTACATTGAGCACTATCTTTTATTGTTCAACGACGCACAGAAGAAATCTCTCACCGGCACCACCTTGGAGGTCAAAATGTTATACTGGTTACACACTACGACTACTACAACGGCTACGAGGGACAAACAAGTGCCGCGATAAGGAGCTTCGCCCCTAAAAAATGATACTATTATCATTTTCGCTGCCGTACACCTGTCCAGTGAATGCGTATCGCGTAAAAAAAAAACCGTGTTTGCGTACGAGGTCAAACATTACAGCGGTATATGCGTCCCCATGTATTGGTTTGTTATTGAAATTTTTGTAATTAAACAGTGACCTTTTGGCTTCGGCAGGCAGATCAGTGACCTTTACCGATCCCAAAAGTAACAACTCTTTAAAGGCGCTGACAGCGAAGCGTATCAATTACTTTGATTATAAGCATCTGAAAGAACTAAGTTGTTTTTGAATATATACCTTTAACAAGAAAAAAATAAATACTAATTAAAGTTTCATTCAAATAAATAGGGTGGTTGGAATTAAAAAATATTTGTGCATACGAGTTTGCTGCTACGTCACACGAATAAAAAAGTTGCGAATATATCAAAGTATACTAGGACACAAAAAGGAAGTATCGTATCTGATGCGGTATTCGCTGTAGTATGATATATCTGCATCTCAGATACTTGTGTCTCATTGCTATTCCAATGTACCTTTGGAATAGCGTATCACTAATAGTCTACCATACCTAGAACCAACCAAGTTATGGATATTAGGGCAAAATATTAAGCCTTAAATGTCTCGCTTCATGGCTTCTTGAGCGAGAGACGACAGACAGTCGTATTAAGCAAAGTAAGTGTCCACTAGTTGCGGGGCTTGCATAAAGGCCCATACATTCAGAAAATTGCGGCTCAGCTGCTCATGGGGCTTAGCTATATATAGCGTACTCTAGCTTAGCGCAAATTGTGTGTTGAAGAAAACATCCGGAGCAGCAAAACATTATGTAGAGGTGACGCAGTGACCGGCAAACAAGTGACATCATTTTTTTTTTTGCATTAGTGCGAATTATGTTTTAGAAATAGAGTGCCTCGAGCGTGTAGCGGAGGTGAACGAGAGCATCGAGGCACGTTAGGCACAAGCGCCATCTGGCAGTTATCTTCAAAAACGAAGGCGTGCAGCCGCGGAGAAAGATGCGCGCCAGTCTCAGAGGCGATAAGGTGTAGAACGCAAAGCGACGGGCAGGTGCCACCACCATGACGTCGTAGCAAAGCATTGGAAATACCTTTTTGACATCGCGTTGCACCATCAGCGCAGTCCGATAAACGCTACATTCCTTTGAGTTACTTTTGTGTGCCTCTTCTAGTATAAAGGCAGACATACAAAACTTCGAAGTGTTGTTATGGCGCCTAAGATATGCGCGATAATTGCTTTTAATTGACAATCGCACAACTCTGAACGCTAAACTTTGAGCAATATTGGTGGGTGCTGCGAATGGGGTTGGCCGTTTGGTGCCGTTTGAGGTATCGTTAGAGCGGACAAACAGACAAATGTACAGACAGACAGACCAAAATTTTTTTGTCGAAGGTCTCAAGAAAGACTGTCGTGTTTAAAAAATATGGCTGATCCATATGTCCTATATAGGAATTGGCATAACGCGAAAGTGAAACTTGTCTTCGTAAAAGTAGAGCTTATTGTGTAGTGAGACACGAGAGCTTGTACAATGTCTACTGTTGTTTGGCAGCTATGGCATCACTTGACGCGGACACACCCACGTTGACACCTTGTGGCACATGTTCATCACACTGAGTATACTGCTAATGGTCATGATTTAACCGTTGTGGCAGCGAAGTTCTCACGTATACCTGGACACAGCGTATCATGAATACCGCGCAAAGATGACATCAAGAAGCACACTCTAGGCACGGCTTAAGTTGCTTGCAGAGCCCGTCGATAATAGTTTTAAACCAGTGTCAGACAGGCCCTTTTAATTGCGATCAGGGCGACCCGGATCGGTTTTCCTTATTGCGATCAACTTTGTGACCGCTGCTACACGACCCAAGCTAATCCAGTCCGAGCTTGGGTCATATGAAATGCGCCAGGTGGCAATTGCGTGCCGAAAAACATATGGAGAGGGTGGACACAAAGAGGAGAAGGTATAGGAAGGGAAAAAGTGGGAAGGCCAACCATGCGAGCGTCCGGCTTGTTATCCTACACCGGGAGAAGGGGATTGATGGATGAAAAGAGGGAGATAGAAAAAGAGAACATAAAAAAGAACAGGTGAGCTTAAACTACACTGCTGCATTGGATAGTAGCAGACGCAGGACTTCAACTGTATCATGTTCCAACGTAGGTCGTTGGTTGACAGTGCCTACTGTAGGCTTGCAAGCATTGGACGTAGAACGTCCAGTACCTGTTGTACGGCCTCAGTGTGTGGTGATTTCAGCCTGCCGACGAACACTTGAAGTGTGTCGAGCAGTGATTGAAGAACTATTACGATAGTTTTGTCTTCTGGCAACGCCGAGGTGCGCTGTGAATCAGCATGTCGTTGCGACTTCGGCAAGGGAGGCCAAACTGTGTCAGTTGTGTCCACGGTGGTCTTCTTGGTATCAACCATCGCTGATCAATGTGACTGCAGCTTTGGCAATTTAGGCCCAGTGGAATCCACGGAAACCATGCTTTTCGCTGCGTTCCGCTTCATACCAGCTGAGTACAATCAGGGTGGAGAAGGAGATGGTGAAGCTATATAGGCGGCGAATGGGCGCTGCGGATTCAGAGGCATTGAATTTCGCTGGGAAACTTCAGCACCGACGGTGCCGCTTTCTGACGGTTGCGATGGCTTCGCGATGCGATGTATGGTCTCTCGCCATTTGCCTCTATAAGGCTATCTATTTTTAAATGCGAATCATTTGTTAGCGAACTTCGGCGACCTTGAGCGTATCTATCTAGCCTCTTACGTTTGGATGCTCTCGTGGTCACCCTCTCAACTTGGCATGAACCAAAATTAGCATGGGAGTGTAAGATGCTTTGACGAATATGACGTGCTGCTCAAGACCTCAATAATGTCACAATCCCGTCACGTACTTCGTCAAACACGTCCCGCCAGACAGGGGCACATACCTGCGGGCGGGTATGTGCCGCTGGTATGCGGGTATGTGCCACAGGTGATTGACACTTAGTATCTACCCAGGAACGACGAAAAC